AGCCACCAGGTCCGGGACACAAACCGCGGTCGACTACGTGGGAGTCCAGCGACATAGCCATTACGCTAACTGCTGGTTCCCCCATTTTAATCATTTTTTAAGGGGGGGATTTTTGATACAGGGTATACACGCTCGCTAGAGACAGAGAGACAGAGAGACAGAGAGAAAGTAAGAAATCACCCCACCCCCCCATGTGGGATGGCCACGCTGCAATCCCTTCTCCTCTATCCTCCTCACAGGATTCTGGGCATATGTGCACACATGCCCAGCATGAATTTCAACGACCAGGTCTGGGACTCGAACCACGGTCAACCATGTGGGAGTCCAGTAATGTAAACTTACGCCAACTATTGGTCCCCCATTTTAATCATTTTTAAGTACACACTTGAGTGGTATTAAGGGCATTCATGTTGTTGTGCAATTAACCTACAGAATTCATCTAACAGAACAAATTCTACACCCATTAAAAACAATTCCCCATTCTTCCCAACACTCCTCTGTTCTATTGGGTCATTGGAAAAGTCATGACGTTTTTTTCTATGCAAACGTTCTATTTTTGGGAGGAGAGGTTTTTGCTATAGGGCGCAGAGACAGAAAGACAGAAAGCAGAAATCACCCCCCGGGGGCGGATGGCCACACCGCAATCCCTTCTCCTCCATTCTCCTCTCGGGATCTTGGGCACGCACGCACACACACCTGGCGTGAGTTTTTTAAGCCACCGGGTCCGGGACTCGAACCACGGTCAACTACATGGGAGTCCAGCAACATAGCCATTATGCTAACTGCTGGTCCCTATGCAAACGTCCTTTGCAACTTTTTTTTGCATAGAAACATTCTATGCAACTTTTTTTTTGAGAGAGAGTGTTTTTTTTGGTATAGGGCACATGCGCTTGCCAGACAGAGAGAAACAGAGAGACAGAAAGTGAGAAATCACCCCCCAGGGGGAATGGCCACGCCGCAATTCCTTCTCCTCTCGGGATCTTGGGCACGCACGCACACACACCTGGCGTGAGTTTTTTAAGCCACCGGGTCCAGGACGTGAACCACAGTTGACTACATGGGAGTCCAGTGACATAGTCATTACACTAACTGCTGGTCCCCTATGCAACGTTGTTTTTTTTTTTTTTTTCATAGAAAAACATGTCATGACTTTTTTGACAACTCAATACTTTCTGCCTCTATGAATCTGACCACTCTAGTTACCTGATACAAACATCATCAGACAGTATTTGTCCTTTTATAACTGGCTTATTTTATTCAGTATTGTCTTCTACAGTCTTCTGTGTAGTAACATGTACAGACTTTTTCCTTTTTAAGTCTGAAAAACTTACACGCTGTAAATATGTAACACGTTCTGTTTACCCATTCATCAGTTGATAGTAATGTAGGTTGCTTTCACCTTTCAGCTACAACAAATAATGCTGTTATAAATACAGGTGTGCAAATATTTTTTTCTGGCCCCTGCTTTCACTTCTTTTGAGTGTATATCCAGAAGCAGAACTTATGAAGTAAATTATATATATATCTATATATCTATCTATACATAGATAGATATATCTCTATCTTTTTTTTGGACAGAGAGCACATGTCTGTGTGGGTAAAGCACCCTTTTGACAGGACCAAGTCATGCTGCAATCCTTTTTTCCCCCAATTCTCTGTCCTATTAGGATCCCAGGCATGGGTACATAGCCAGCATATTTTTCAAGTCAATGGGGCCAGGACTCAAACCCAGGCCAACCCCATGGGATCTGACTTCCTCTAAATAGTGCCTAACCAATGCCCTACAATGGTCATTCCAGTAATTCTGTTTTGTTTTTTTCTTAGAGATTTCTGCTATCGGGCGCACATGCTTGCTGGAGATAGAGAGAGACAGAAAGCAAGAAATCAGCCTGGGGGAGATGGCCATGCCGCAGTCTCTTCTCTATTCTCCTTTCAGGATTTTGGGCATACATGTACAAGCGCCTGGCATATGAGTTTTAAGATGCCGGGTCCAGTACTCAAATTACTTTCCACTACGTGGAGTCCAGCGACGTAATCATTACACCATCTGCTGGTAGTAATTCTATTTTGAATCCTTTTTTTTTTTTTTTAAGGTTTTTGTCATACTGTGAGTGCCCTCGTTCAAGAGAGGGAAAGTCATTCACCCTCTGGGAGAATGACCATGCCACAATCCTTTCTCCTCCTCTTTCCTCCTTGAATTTTGGGCACACATGCACACACACCTGGCATGATTTTCAAGCTGCCAGTTCTGGGACACAAACTGTAGTTGGCCATGTGGGAATCTAGTACCTTAATCACCATATCACACTCTGGATACCTAATTTTTAATTTTTTGAGGAACCACCATACTGTTTTCCAGGCTGCCTACATCATTTTACATTCCCACGAAGAGAATGTTAGGTGTTGTACTTTTTCCATATCTTTTTCTTTTTTTTTCTTTTTTTTTTTTGCGGGGGAGACGTTTTTGCTATAGGGTACGTGCACTCGCCAAAAAGACAGAGAGAGAAAGAGACAGAAATCACCCCCCCCTTGGGAGGGGATGGCCACGCCGCAATCCCTTCTTTCTCCTTTCTCCTCTCGGGATCTTGGGCACACGTGTACATGTGCCCGGCCTGAGTTTAAGCCACCGGGTCCAGGACTAGAACTGCGGTTGACTACATGGGAGTCCAGCGACATAGCCATTACGTTAACTGCTGGTCCCTAGTTTTTCCATATCTTCATGATCATTGATTACTTTACATTGTTTATTCATTTGTTCTATGAGTGAGACAGAGAGGCAGATACACACACAGATATAGCACCCTGACAGTGGCAACAATATAGTTACCTCTAGCCTCAGCCACTCTGGAGCATAGAAATGTGAGTGCCCAGCAGTCAGGGAGGCGTCTGGACACCAACCAGCAACCTTCCCATGTGGGTGTGCCTTGCACAGTATTGTGTTTTTTACCACTGTACCACTGTCTGGCCCCAAGTTTTTGGACAGTACCCATTTTAATGGGTGTGAGATGATCTCTCTCTGTAGTAATGATGTACATTTCTCTAATACTAAATGATGTTGAACTTTTTTTTTTCATGATCGTATCAGTTATTTTATCATTTTCTCTAGAGAAACAAGTCCTTTGCCTGACTTTTTTTTTTTTTTTTTTAAGGACAGGTAATTTTACTATAGGGTGTGTGTGCTCAATTGAGAGACAAAAAGCGAGAAATTGCCCCCTGGGATGATGGCCATGCTGCAATCCCTTCTCCTATCATTCCCCTCTAGGGATTTTGGACAAGTATGTACATGTATGTGCCTGGAGTGAATTTTAAGCCACTGGACTGGGGACTCAAACCATGGTCAACTATGTAGAGTCAAGAGACGTAGCCATTACATTATCTGTTGATCTCCCTTGACCTGTTTTTAAACTGGGTTGCTTTAGTGTTGTGGAGTTGTAGTAGTTTATATATACTGAATATAAACTCATCAGTTACAGGACTTAGAAAAAAAAAATTTTTTTAAGAATTATTTTATTTACTTTTTAAATTTGACCAGAGAGGGACTGAGAATGAGAGAAAGAAAGTGAAAAAGCAAGCCACCAGGTCTGGGACTCAAACTGTGGTCAGCCATGTGGGTGTCCAGCGCCCTTAACCACCACGTGACCTGCAAGAAATCACCCTCTGGGGGGGATGGCTACACCCTAATTCCTTCTTCTCCACTCTTCTGGGATTTTAGGCACACATGAATGTGTGCCCAGTGTGAGTTTCAAGGTACCAGGTCCAGGACACAGTCTATGGTGGTCCATGCAGGAGTCCAGCACCTTAACTACTGTGCCACCTGCTGGCTCTGAAAGTTTATCATTTTAATGTACTCCAGTTAACCTATTTCTTTTTTTGCTTATGTTTTTTGTCATATCCAAGAAATATAAATAACAGTCATATGCAATATAATGAGGTTTTCTTCTAAGAATCTTATAGTTTTAGCTCATATGTATAGGTCTTTGATCCATTTTGAGTCAATTTTTGAAAATGGAATAAGGTAAAGGTCTAGCTTCACTTTCTTGGATGTGGATACCCAGTTTTCCCAATACCAATACCGTTTGTTAAAGATTTTGTTTTGTTTTTGCTATAGGGGTTGTGTGCTTGCCAGAGAAAGAGACAGAGAAAGTGAGAATGCACCCCCTCAGGGTGATGGTACCACCACAATCTCTTCTCCTCCAATATTCTTTCAGGATTTTAGGCATGCATGCACATGTGCCCATTGTAATTTTTAAGCTGCCAGGTCTGGGACTTAAATTGTAGAGTTGGCCATGTGGGGTCCAGCCACCTGTTGGCCCATTTGTTAAAAGATTTTTAAATGGTTGATATAAAGATTTTCTGACACATGAACATTTATAAAAAGGGCCTGTCTGTAGTACAGTGGTTATATACTGCTGCTCAAAATCTCTCAGGTTTTCATACCTTTCATTGAAGACTCAGCTCCGCTGGTTCTTTGAGAGCTGTGAGCAGAGCTGTTATTGGATACCACCATTGGCCCAGGACTCTGGCCCAGGGAAGGGATGGTGTTAAGGGTATTCACCAATTTGGCCACTTCGTTGCTATTTTCACCTGTAACCCCAGGTCGCTTCACAGTAACGAAGCTGGCAATGCTCACTGCAGGTGGAGAGGGAAAGGAGGGAGCTACGTTGACCAAGTGATAATCATCTATTCTCTACCCACCACCCCGTTCTGGCTCTGCCACATCCTCTTCCCCATTCTCACCCAGCTTGGGATTCGAGGTCTGGCTGGACTGGCCTGGAGGCTGGACAGCTAACGGTCCCAATGAGGTCGGCTGCGTGGCTGTGGGAGTGGTGGAAGTGCTGGGAGTGGACTTGGTCTGCTGGGACTGGGACTGTGGGACGGTGCTTCGAATGGTGAGAGTAGCTGGGATGACAGTGGTAAAGGTGTTGGTGGTGGGCCTCACAGGCATTGTGGAGCCTGGCCTCACAGGGGTCATCTGAGAGAACACTTGTGGGACTCCAACCGTCGGCTTAACAAACTGGGTACCTGGGGCTTTAAAAGAGAGACAAAGAAAAGTACCATATCTTGGTCAATGAATTCACCTATCACTTATTTTTCCCTGCCTTTACTGGAAATAACTAGACTAAGAAAAGGTTACTTCTCCAAATAGACTGGTGACCATCAGAGGTTACCAAGAATGGTATATACAGAATCTAAAGTCTGAGAACACACTGGGCACCCAGATTGAAACTAGCTTGGGTAACCTAAACATATTAAATTGAAGAAGAATCCTATCAACTCTTCCTCCAAATACCTTATCATGCTGCCTTTCACGCTAAGAATAAAGTCAGTAGCTTGACCTTGGCAATGGAAGAAAGAGTGGGAAACAGAATGGGCAGACTTGGTCCTCCAAAAATGATCTTCTTTGTCAGAATACTAAAGGAACCACCCATTTATCGTACATAAATTCAAACAGAAGAAAGACTCTAACATTCTACCAAGAATGTCCCAAAGGAGAACATCTCCTAGCTCATCAATTCCACTGAGAAATATTTAAGAAATACCAGAACCCAATAGGGTAATCTGATCAGATTGAGGCCAAAGAAAAAAAAAAAAAGCCCTGAAAACAAAAAGCCAAAAATCTTAGGAAGACAACCTAGGTACCCTTACAAAACAAAGATGTTCTTTTCTGAATTAAACTGTAGTAAACTTACACACACTGAACAAAGAAATGGGGGAATTACCAGATTTTAAAAAATTATTTTTCTCAGCTCCTTAAAATACTATATAGTCACTGGTATTATTTATCCATAAAGGGTATATTATTTGTTATTAATTTAGATCTAAGAATCTATGCTATAAAAATTAAAGCAAAATAAAGTTTACAATCCCACATACTCAATAGCTGACTAAAACACCAGTTACAGAAAAATGAGTAGATTTAATCCCTGTTTTACTGTCTCATGAAGGGTGGTGAAAAGCTAAGCAGAAAAAAAATAAGTAAATTCACCACCCCTGGCCAAAGGTTAGAAAAACACAATTGAGCTTAAACCATAAAGATTTTGATATTTTCAGATTTTCTTGAAATACATTTTAAAAATAATCTAGAATATTTTGAAACAATAAAAACAAATCTGGATGCCAGTTTACTCCAAAGGGAAAGACATTTTTCCTTACCTGGGACTAGTGTAATTGGTCTAACCGTTTGGCCCTGCTGTACGTTCAGCACAATCCCAACCTGATTCATTGCATTTTGTACAGGCCGGACATTCCTTACAGGAAATCCCTGTGTTAAAAAGCAAAATGACCTTTAATACGGACATCAACTAGCACTAGCAGAGATTGCAGTATGATCTATATCTGGAAAAAATGCCCAGTCTCTTATTTAATGGATCTCTCTCTAGAGTTACAACTTCTAAAGGACTAAGATAGAGAAATTAGGCATACTTTTGAGTGACAAAATATCAAAAGTGGAAAATAAGCTTCGAAAGAGATAAGCAAAAATGAAAACCTACTTCTTGATTTAAGAGGGCCTCAGCTTGGGGCTGGCAGGTGGTGTGGTGGTTAAGGGTGCTAGACTCCCACATGGCTGAGCACGGTTAAAGTCCCGAACCTAGTGGCTTGCTTTCTCACTTTCCCTCCCTCCCTCTCTCTTTTTCTCACTCTGTCCCTCTCTGGTCAAATTAAAATAAATAAAATAATTCTTTAAAAAAAAAAAAAAAGTGCCTCAGCTTAAAAAAAATACATCCACAGTTTGGCCCCTACACTGCTAAAAGTATAAAAGGGAGGGAAAAAAAGAAAAGAAAGACAGATACTATAGTGTTTACTGGAGGAATTCAACATATAAACAATCCTAAGAAACTGTTCCCAGAGACCACTTCAAAGGCTATAAACCCCTGGTAAATTTATAAGAGGAGAGTTTATAACTCAGAAAACCACAGGCAAAGAGAAGCATTTGGCCTTTAGAATCTGCATTCATAATTAGGCTTTTAACTTTAATTTACTACATTACATGGCAAACCAGTCAAATCTTTCTTCTCTTTCAAAGATCTCCATACACTTATCAGTTTCAAGAAGCCCGAGCAAAGGGTGACAAGCCAAGAGCTAATGCTTCCTAATTCATTTCCCACTACCTTGTGCTCCAGACCTTAATAAAATCACTTAACAGACTTCTAAGGGGTATGGAGAAGAACGCAGCTGTGATGTTATGCTGGACTTTCTACACAAGTTGGCATCGAATTGTAAACAGCAAACAAGAAGGCCAAGTCAAAAGGTAACACTTAGGACCATTTCTAAAGATGCCAAAGACCCTGAGAGCTTCCAAAGGTGCAGTCTTTCCTCTACCCATCCCAGAAGTCAGAGTTCTACTCACCTGTGTAGTGATGAATATTGGTTGTGAGGCCACAGGGGAACTAGTCACATGATTGGCATTTTGCATGACCTGGACAGGCCTTAATACTGGTTGGGTCACCATTGTGCCCAGACCTGGGGCTGGATTCTGAGTCAGGATGAGTGGCTGTCCACCTTGCTGGACCAAAGGATTGCCAGCTAAAGGGTAAAACAAAAAAGAACAACAACAAAATGTTAAAAACAATGTTAAATCCATATTTTATAAGAAACATTTCAGGGACCGGCAAGTGGCCTGATGGCTAAGGTGCTGAACTCCAACAGGTCTGACCATGGTTCAAGTCCCGTGGTTCAAACCTGATAGCTTCCTTTCTCATTTTCCCTCTCTGGTGAATGCACATGCTCTACAGCAAATTAAATAACAACAACAAATAAATAAAATTAATTATTTTTAAAATAAATATTATAATCTTAGATAAGAAATTATGTCACTTGGGGCTGGCAGGTCGCATGGTGGTTAAGGGTGCTAAACTCCCACATGGCTGACCATGGTTCGTGTCCCAGACCTAGCGATTTGCTTCTCACTCTCTCTCTCTCTCTCTCTCACTCTGTCACTTACTCTGTTTTGCTCTGATCAAATTAAAATAAATAAAGTTAAATAAAATAATTATTTAAAAAAAGAAATAGTGTCACCAAACTCACCAAAAATGTAAGTTTCACCCAAATCTACAACTAACAGACACACAGGCGGGCAAGAGAGATCCATTAACATCACACCCGTACCTCTTAAGTAGGGATGAAGGACACATTAAGATTTACGGGACTATATTTATTGATGAGGATGTGCGTATGTTCTCAACTGGGCTGGACTGAGATGTGTGTCACACTGGGTAAAGTCGCTTTACAATCTAAACGATGTACAGTGATTAAATGTATAAATAATAAGTAAAATTAATTTTTAAAATGATAAAAAAAAGACTGATGGGACCAGCAGATGTTATAATGGTTATGTTGCTGGTCTCCCACATAGTTGACTGCAGTTCGAGTCCCAGACCCAGTGACTTAAAACTCACATTGGGTGGGTGCATGCATGCCTGTCCTCTTGGGGGGCAATTTCCTTTCTGTCTCTCTGTCTCTCCAGCAAATGCACATACCCTAAACCAAAGAATCTCTCTAAAAAAAGAAAAAAGAGACTTTTCTGTGGCTAGTACCTAGATTCTGATCATTTAAGCGACCACACATAATCTCCCCACACCAAATCAGTGGAACAAAAGGACATGTAAGTCTTTTTTCCATATTTCAATGAGGTAATAAAACCTATTTTGTCACATAATTTATTGTTAGCTAATCTGTCTTAATCATTATTAAAAGAGGAATATTCATCAGTAAACATTAATTCACCAAATATAGAGTCTAAAGAATGGCATCTCTTCTTAGTGAGTCAAATATGAGAAATGCAACAAAATCGGTTGAAACAAACATGGTCTTTTTAGGTATGGAAACACAGAGATTGACATGCGACCTACCTTCTTTCTTTTTATGTCATTAGGGATAATAAATAGAAATAACCAGGCCAGCTGATGGTGTGGTAGTTACGGCAGCTAGATCACACGTGACTGACTACACAGTTTGAGTCCTGGAGAGCAGGCAGCTTGAAAACACACTGAGGGAACTAGCAGATGGCAGACTGGTTACGTTGCTGGACTTCCACATGGCCAACTGCAGTTCAAGTCCTGGATCTAGAGGCATGTATGTGTGCGTGCCCAAAACCTCAAGAGGAGAATGGAGAAGAGATTGCAGCATGGTCATTCCTCCCTCACCCTGGGGGCGGGGAGTGGTTTCTCGCTTTCTGTCTCTCTGGCGAAAACATGTGCCCTAGAGCATAAATCTCTTTTTAAAAAAAGGAAAAACACACTAAGTGTGTGTGTATGTATGCCCAAAGTCCCAAAAAGAGGGAAACATGAAAGAGAAGGGAGGGGAAGAGTGTGCTTTCTCACTCTTTCTGTGTCTCTCTCAGGCAAGCACATGTACCCTCTAACATTTTTTTTTTAAAATTATCCAACCATGCCTCTAGTTTGTTCTCCAATGAAGCTGGCACCATAACTACACACTCACTAAGTGTGTGTGTATGTATGCCCAAAGTCCCAAAAAGAGGGAAACATGAAAGAGAAGGGAGGGGAAGAGTGTGCTTTCTCACTCTTTCTGTGTCTCTCTCAGGCAAGCACATGTACCCTCTAACATTTTTTTTTTAAAATTATCCAACCATGCCTCTAGTTTGTTCTCCAATGAAGCTGGCACCATAACTACACACTGATGAAATAACAAAGGGTTTTTTTTTTTTTTTAGGTTTTTGCTATAGGGCGCGTGCGCTCGCCAGACAGACAGACAGAGACAGAGAGACAGAAAGCGAGAAATCACCCCCCAGGGGGGATGGTCACGCCACAATCCCTTCTCCTCCATTCTCCTCTAGGGATCTTGGGCACGCACGCACACGCGCCGGGTGTGAGTCTTAAGCCACCGGATCTGGGACACGAACCGTGGTCGACTACATGGGAGTTCAGCGACATAGCCATTACGCTAACTGCTGGTCCCATGGAGGGTGTTTTTGAAGATTTATTTATTTAACTTTATCCACCATTACTGTTTTTAAATTTGACCAGAGACAGACAGACAGACAGACAGACAGACAGAAAGGGAAAGTGAGAAAAGCAAGCTATCACGTCCTGGAATCGAACTGTAGCCAGCCATGTGGGAATCCAGCACCCTGACCAACACACCACCTGCTGGCCCCAGAATGTTGTTTCTTTTACAAATCTGAAGGTCTTGATTTTTTTCCTACATTCCTTTAAATTCACGTATACAATTTTTTAAAGAGATTTTTGCTATAGGGCATGTATGCTCATTGGAGAGACAGGAAGACAAAGCGAGAAATCACCCCCGGGGGTGATGGCTCTGCTGCAATCCCTTTTCCTCCATTCTCCTCTCAAGATATTGGACGTGCACACACACGCGCCCAAAGTGAGTTTTAAGCCACCAGGGCTGGGACTTGAACAGTAGTCAACTACATGGGAGTCCAGCAATATGACCATTACGCCATCTGCTGGTCCCAAGTTCACTTATATAATCTTCTTTTAAAGAATCGTTTTTATAACTTTATTTATATATTTATTTATTTATAATTCCATCAGAAGAGAGAGAGATAGAGAGAGAGAGAGAAAGCAAGCCACCAGGTCCAGGACTTGAACTGCAGTTGGCCATGTGGGAGTCTAGTGTCCTTAACCACCATGCCACCTGATGTCCCATTTCCTTTTTTCTAATAGAGATTTTTTGCTATAGGGTGCTTACACTCACCAGAGAGACAGAAAGCAAGAAATCACTTCCCAGAGGGATGGCCATGCCACAACCTCTTCTCCTTCATTCTCCTCTTGGGATTTTGGGCATGCACGCACACACACCTGGACTGTTTTAAGCCTCTAGGTCTGCAACATGAACTGCGGTTGACTATGTGGGAGTTCCGCAACGTAAATATTATGTCATTTGATGGCCCCACTTATATAATCTTAAAGTCCAGAGAAAGAGAGCTAAATATAACAGATATCATATCATAATTAGTTATACAGAAAAAAATGTTTTTTTTTATTGGGACAGTCAGGTGGCACGCTGACTGAGGCAAGCTTATTCCACACAGCTGTCTGTGCAGTTTGAGTCTCAGACCTCAAAAAATATGTCAGGCGCATTGTGCCCATCCCCCTTAGGGGGTGTTTTCTTACTTTCTTTCCCTCCCTGTTCCTCTCCAATGAGTACACATGCCTTACAGCAAATTTTAAAAAATGTTTTTTGCTTCTTGTTTTGGCTAGAAGGTACATGTGATTATGAGAGAGAGCAAGAAAATGAAAAAGCACCCCCATACTGCAAAGGGGAATGATCATATCGCAATCCTTTCTCTTCCATGCTCCTCTTGGGACTCTGAGCACACACATATGTGCTTAGAATGTTTTTTTCTTTTTTTTTTAAGGCATTTTTTTTTGCCCTAGGGCAGATACACGCACGGAAGGGGAGATGGCCGCATTGCAATCCCTCCTCCTTCATGGTCCCCTCGGGATTTGGGGCACGCTGTACATGTGCTCAGTGTGCTTTTCAAGCCACTGAGTCCAGGACTTGAACCATGGTCGGCTATGTGGTAGTCCAACACCTTAACCACTACATCACTTGCTGGCCCCAGGATTTGGAGGCATAAGAGCACACATGCATGTGCATGTGTGCACGTACTTATGTGTACACACACACACACTTTTCAAACCAGCAGTTCTAAGACTCAAAAATGCACTCAGCCATGTGGGATCCAGTTGCTTTAACCATCACACCACTGGCTGGCCAGCCCTTGGGATGATTTTCAAGCCAAAGGGTCTAGGACTTGAACCATGAAGACAACCACATGGAATCCAGCACCTTAACCACACCATGGGCTAGCTCCCCCCAAAATGTTTTCTATATGCTAGCCAGAGAGAGGGGGAGATAAAGAACCCCCAATGAGGCATAGTCAAGCTGCAATCCCTCCTCCTCCATCCTGTTAGGATTGGGGCATGCATGCATGTGTGCCTGGAGTATTTTGTGAAGCTGCCAGGCTGGGATTCAAATTGTAGTCAGCCATGTGGGATCTGCCTCCTCCTAATCACCAGGCTTTGGGGCTGATCCCAGTAAGAATCTGTAAACAGCACTCGAAGCTTAGAATTAAGCAACAGTTTATTTTACTATATAATGTTTCTTTCCTATGTGAATATATGACCAGTTGTGACTACAGAAATAATTTCTAAATGCAGAATAGTAAATTCTAAAGAATATCAAAAAGAACAGTAAAAAGTACCAAATTTTGTATTCCTGACATATGGTTTAAAAAAAACTGAAAAACAACAGAGTCAGCTTGGTGGTGCACTGGTAATGCACTCCTCAAGAGAAGTCAGATCCCTGGGGAACCAGCAGTTAGCGTAATGGCTATGTCGCTGGACTCCCACATAGTCGACCGCAGTTCGTGTCCCGGACCCGGTGGCTTAAAACTCACACCGGGCGCGTGTGCGTGCGTGCCCAAGATCCCGAGAGGAGAATGGAGGAGAAGGGATTGCGGCGTGACCATCCCCCCTGGGGGGTGATTTCTCGCTTTCTGTCTCTATGTCTCTGTCTGTCTGTCTGGCGAGCGCACGCGC